AGTATTGACTATATATACATATAAGCACAGCAATTAGCTAAGGACAATATTGTGTCAATCATTTTAGCCTAAGATAATCAATACTAATTCATCTTTGCCAAATGGCCAGAAAGGAATGATGTGGCTCGTTATCCATGCAAATATACTTTTGTTAAATTGTGAGGAGAAAAATGCTTTACACATGGAAATGTTTACTCTTTATCTCTTCTTACTTTTATTTTATTATTATTATTATTATTATTATTATTATTATTATTATTATTATTATTATTATTATTATTATTATTATTATTATTATTATTATTATTATTATTATTATTATTATTATTATTATTATTATTATTATTATTATTATTATTATTATTATTATTAATTATTATCATTGTCCTTATCCCATATGGCTACATCCAAATGTTTATTGAAAAGAGAAAAGAAAGCAATTCATAAAATTCGCCTAATTAATTTAATTTTATATCTTTAACAATTTAAATTGTGATAATATTGTTGATTTTTTTTTTCATTAACTTATTATTGATTTATTATTGACGTACTTCAATCGTAATTTCAATTTAACTCCATAACCTGATCTACACATTTCACTCTTCTTTATCACATCATCAAATTTGGTTTTCTTTTTTTTCAATAAATGAATATTTCATCGCCATTATTTATTTTGCATATTTTGCTTTTTTTCTTCTCTCCTTCTTTCTCCCTTTGTTTCTGTATCTTTGTCTCTTATCTTTGTCTCTTTCTGTATTTAAAAAAGCTAAGAGAATGTGGAAGAAAAAAAAAGTATTGCAAGTGAAATTTCGCGGGATCAAACCGAGATAATCGAAAGGATGTGTATATAGTATTCGAATACATTCCATTCATCCTTTCTCTTTCTCTCTCTCTCTCTCTCTATTTGTCTCTCATTCTTATTTTTTGAGGTCACCCATATCCTTGTAATTTTATCATCAATTCATAAATTTGATATATTTATTTATCTATTTCTTATTCTTATTTGTTTGTTATCACTTAAATTATTATCATTATCATTATTATATAGACGTTATATTCATTATTTATTTATTAATTCATACACGGTAGTGTAAATATCACTGAATAATGACTATTAGATAGAAATTATTCATCATTTCCATTAATTATCTTATATATCGATTATTGTTAATAACTTCTATCAGATAACATCTTGATTTTTATTTTTTATTTTTTATTTGATTATGATTGATAATATTATTGAATAGAAAGTTACTTTTTTCTGTATTATTAGTATTATTTGATAAGAATTACTGGTTTTTTTTCATCGATTTAAATCATTTATTTAATTAGAATTATTGATTTTCATTTATGAAATATTTTTCTTCTTTTCTTCTAAATTTTACAATTTAATATGCAAATTTCCAACAAATTTTTTCTATGCTTGCAAAAAGAAAAAAATCTTTTTTTTCTTCAGTTTTTCTTTAAATTGATCCAATTTTTTTTTGGACAAATTGTTGGATAAAGGAAGGAATAGATTGGGGAAGTTATTCTACTGGTTGACAAGTGCATATTCAGGCTTGTCACATAATGAACTTTTCATTTTTCGCCTTTCTACTTTCATTTCCATGCTTTTCTCATTAATCAGTTAATCTACTCCCTCTCTCTCTTTCTTTCCCTCTCTCTCTCTCTCTCTTTCTATTTCTCCTTCTCTCCCTCTTTGTTTTTATCATTTTCTTTCTCCCTAATAGCAACTTATCTATCTATCACTTCTTTCCGTTTCAATTCCTGAAACTTTTCCCTCCCATTGGAGAAATGTTCACACTTATATTAGCATCATTTATATTTCAATTTTTATCTTTACTCTTCCTTTTCTTCCTCCCAAATCAGAATTATCAATGAATTATCAGTGCTACCACTCATTCATTTCCTTATTTCCTTGTCACTTAGTATTATCGCTTATAATACATGAACAATAGTAAGTCATTTTTGACTTACTATGAATGCTATTACTATTATTATTATTAGTAATATTATTATTATCATTATTATTATTATTGCTGTTGTTGCAACAAACTATTCTCTCATTTAATTCATGGCAAATACTTTCCAAATGTAATTAAATTTAAGAATTAATCGTTTTAATTTAAAAACAAACAAACAATTCTTTATCGATAATTTTACTTTTCCAAAATATTGGCGATAATTTTTTTTTCAAATAACTTTTTTAATTAAAAAACCAAATATCTGTTGAATATTAAGAAGTATTACAATCGATTAATTTAAACACTTTATTGAAAATAATTAATTATTCATTTGAAATATTCACCAAATATTTCTATTTTTTCATTTCAAATTTATTATTTTTCATCTCAATGAATTCTTATTTTTTATTATTGCTAAGCTTTTTTCCTTTCCATTCTTCATTCAGTCTCATCAATTTCAGCAACATTCCAATCTAATTAATTGTAATAATTCTGAAATTGTGATGTTTTTCAAATCACGCATGCGCAAATCGAAATCATGGTCTGCACCTGCAAATGTTATCCGACAAACGGTACGATATTTGTTTCCTTTTTTTCCTTGTTTTAATTACATTTGATTCTTCATCTTTCTCTCTCTCTCTTTCCCTCTCTCTCTCTCTCACC